GAGAAGATATAACTTAAATATTTATACTTCAACAAAACTATCTCCTAATACGTTATCTAATAGGATTCTATGGTATTAATTCACATATTTGATATCTAATTTAGAAGAGATCACATGAAGAACATATTGGTTAATGACGTTAATATTATATTGGCATATCTCAGCAAGAAAGGAGAATATTTTTGGCACAATGTTTTGAAGGAGGAAGCTTGGGCTTTGGGTTATCCCACGGGATTGCATTTCCTTTCTTGGAGAAAGATATGAAGATGTTGGAAAAGATAAAACAACTGCAACAAACATCAAAAGTTTAACCCACAAGAAATTATAAACCAATGTCCAAATGGGATGATTCTAGAAACAAGATGAAAGCAATCAGAATAATAGAATTAAACAAAACAAACAGAATTTTTTGTTTTAAAAAAAGTATAGACTGAAAAAGTTGGGAAATATAATAAGTCAATAAGTCTCCTTCCTTATCTAGTACGAATCAAGATGGCTCCTCTTGATTTTTTATTGTTGATAAGAAACACAATTTTATTGATAATCAAAAGATCATAAAATAAAATTAAATAAGTGTGGACGAGTAGTCAAAAAGAAAAAGACATAAAACATAAAAACAGTGAGCAAACTACAAGCCGCATGATGCCTTCCGACTTGTCTTGATACAAAAGAAATGAATGTCTTTAAAATCCTTAGAAATTGATGCCCAAAAAGATGTCAAAAAATAAATTATATGCCATAAATCCTCAAACTCTTCACTCTTATCCTCAAAAATCCTCGCATTCCTTTCCTTCCAATCACTCAAAAGTGTAGCAAAAAAAGCAATATTCCAAATAACCTTCCATCTACCATTCCTTTAAAATCCCACATTGTCCATGCAAAACATAGACCCTAGTCCTTAGAGCAACCCAAGAGAAACCCACAAGCTTGTTCCAAAGCTTTCGTGCCAAAATGCAATGCAAAAAAAAGTGATCAACATTCTCATTTTCCCTTCTACACATAACACACCATTGTGGTTGAAGGCAATGATTTGGTCTCCTCTTTATCTTGTGATGCCTTTGGCCCAATTCTCCCGATCTCGATGAGACACTAACAAAAAAACACTACATTTGATTTTACAAAGTTGCCACTAATCTAAGGTACTTCAAAATTGTGGGTGTAAAAGCTACCAAAGGATGCAGCCTAAGATATATAGAGATTAAATGCTAAAAGTTATGCAAAACATTAACTAATGATCTACTTAGATACCATGAAACAATGAGCCAATGATCATCATACCTTGATGACAAATCTCAAATTCACCTCGCTTTAAAAGAAGCATTCTCTTCCAAAAAATCAGTTCCATAAAATCCAAGATAAATTAAAAATTTTCTGGATAATATACTATAGAGAAGCACATTTAAACATAGATTCAAAATCAGTCTCCATCAAAGTAATCATATCACCATCATTAGTGGTGATTGGATTAATTTTTCATGAAGCAACACAGATTTCTTAAATCATAGATTGTCTGATGTGTAAATTACCTTCGTCCTGGTTTGATTTTATGCTTTTTTTTGGGGGGGGGATTTTCTGCATATAGTCATAAATGAGTGGGGTGAATAGGTGCAAGCTTTCCGGCTGCAGTCTGGACTGATGGCATGACATTTGTTGTGTCGAAGGGTTTTTCTTATTTTTAATTTATCCCACATTTGCAAAGCAACTCCTTCTATGGAAGTGGGTTTAACTGTGTATTTTCATCAGAGATATATTTGTTGAACTGGCTGTGAGATGTAACTATGTATATTTTCATTTCGTTATGATTTTTTTATGGGTTGGTGCTTGGTGTTGGTGACAGATCTGCTGGGAACCATCCCATACCCACAGTGAGGGCCAAGGCATGAGAAAATACTATGGAGGGATAAATAGGAAGAAATGCTAAAAGTGCATATTCTACATCATATCTTCCTTTTCTTTTTGTGTGTGGTATGAGCTTACTTTGATCATGATTTGTTCAAATATTTCTTTTCCATCCTTTTGGTGCTTAGGCTGTGAAGTATAGTTGTGGTCATATATAACTTCTCTTTTGATGTGTTAATTCTCTCTCTCCCTCCTAATATCATTATTCCTAGTCTTTTCACAGAGACCGTTTTTTAAGCACACAACGGGAACTAAGCCCCCCTGTACCGGTAAATTTTTATGAGACAGTTTCAAACCCTACTTATCAAATCCATTAACGTGTTTTTTTTTCCAATCATCAAGGCAAATTGAAATTTTTTTGTTCATTACTTTATGTTGACAGTGGTGAGAATAAGGATCCCAAAGTTTCTGAGACTTGCTGGTAAGTATAACGATCCTAGATGATTGTCAACCTTCAAAAACGTCGTCTTCATTCATGATGCTGATGGTCATATTCTTTGGCTTTCACAATCAAGATCATGTTTTCATTTGTAAACTATTAGTTGTTTGCTACCCAGAAATAAAAGCCAACGAATTTTTCAGTCTTTCACAAATCCAGGACATTGGTCATTTTTTAGTTTCTGCAAACAAATTTTATTTTGTGTGATTGGTGAAGATCTTTATTCTATAGCCTGTGTGTGTGAGAATATGTCTGTTGACAAACAAAGTCTTTCTCTCTCTCTCTCTCTCTCGATGTGTATATCTATTAGTTTTTTGGGATTTGAGGGTGGTAGGTCTTGGATTTGGAGGAAGTGGTGGGATTTGGCCATGGATTATCAATGTATTTATATAGATTTCTAGGAAATTGGAAATCGAGTCTCAGGTTTGTGCAGGATAAAGCTTTGGCTACATTGGCAATCGAGGGCAAAAAGATGTTGCTAAGAAGTACCGTGAAGATGCGGTGCAATCAACTCTTGCCGCTACAGAATGGCATTCAAGCATGTTCTTTGCATTGCTTTTTCATTGTCACTGTTGAGAACTTCTACGGGGAAAGTTTCTTTTTTGAGTCGATTTTTGTCAATGACAGCATTTCATATCAATACTTCTGCTTTAGGCTTATCATTATGATGTTCATGTAAATGGTTAGGATAACGTGTGTTCTATGAAACGTCTCGATAAGTTGTGTTCTACACAATTATTAAATACTTCAATTCACTACATGTTAAATGAAACGTCTCAAAGATTTGTGTTCCATACCAATGTATAGAGTGAATTTATAATAGTAATGTTAATATATTCGATGAAATTTCTCAATGAGTATATTGTAATGAAGTTTTCCATCTAAAAGTTTAATTTCGTTGATTTATATGTGTTCTTATTAGAAAATCATTATTTCACCTTTAATTTGGGTTTTGCTCATCTATTTTTATTGGCTTTATGATATGATTTATTGAGAAGGTAAGGACCTCAAACATAGGTTTGGGCTGTCCTCTGCTCACTTTATCCTCATTTTGTTGAGGCTAGAGTGAGATTGTATATTGTTATAAGCAAATAAACATGAATAATCATTTCCCTTTTGTTCCATAAAAACATATAGTTGATCGATTTAAAATCACTAATTGTTTCAATGTTTGTTTGAGTAGTGCAGGTGAAGGGTGGCAAAGGTGATAAACGAGAATTAAATTTGCTACATTTTTTGTCGATTAGGTGAGGGGATTTTTCCATGAGAAGGGACCAGCTATATTTTGGGTTCTCTGTTCAAACAAGCAAGAAATCTCCGAGTTTAGCAAGTGTTTCGGCATTCCTGGAGTCCAATACATCACACAAGGCAATGAATCAAAGGTTCTGGGGGCGTGAGGAAACTCAGCTTCAGCACTGGCATTTTTAATGAGCAAGTTGATTGGTAAATTTTTTGGATTTCTTTATAAATAGGTTACAGATCAACAGATATTTGAGAGATAAACAAGAAAGTGATGGTTTTATATGGTTTTATTTGGGTGTAATTTGACAAGAGTTTTAAGAAGGCATCTGAGCCTTATTTTTTGGAATTTTGTTTTTCAAATTACCATGTAATTTTCAATTTTTTTCCTTCTCTTTTTGGGATAAGGTTTATGCCCCCTACTACTTTTGGTTATTAATGATGGGGGATCCTATGTGTTTTTTATTAAAAAAAATGAACAGAGTTTTTTAAGTGTTCGATGTTTAGTGTTGTACACTGTCTTTAGACACGGGTTATTACTAGTATATAATATTACAACTAGAAAGTTAAATTTTCAACTTATAAAAACACAACTGGTAAAATTTAACCAATTTTCATCCACTTTGATCTAATGGTACAAAATTTATCTCAAATAATTTTTCCCGGCTCAAGCATTATCTTCTCTGCACAGATCCAATGTCAGACAACTCAACTAACACACTCCTTGATGTCAAACAACCTCATTAACCTACACATACCTCTCTTTTCTCTCTCCCTTACATTTCTTTTATTTTTTCTCCATTCACTTTAATTTTAAATTGTGTCATTGAAGAAAAATAAATAAATAAATTGCTATTTAAATATATATATATATTACACAATCAATATTAAATTTTTGGTATTGCATGGTATCTGTCTTTAGGCATGGGATTATTCCTAATATATATAATATTACTGCTAGGACTTGAATCCCCAACTTATAAAAACACAATAACCGTTAAAATAATCCAATTTTCATCTATTTTGATCCAATGTTACAAAATTCATCCCAAAGTCTCCCCTTCAAAACATCATCTTCTCTACACAGCCGACATACTAATAGATAACCTCGCAAATCTATAGCAAAAAAATAAATAAATTGTTATTTAAAATATAAAACTTAACCGATCCAAGTTAAATTTTTAGTATGGCAGAGTGTCACGCAGTTATTATTAGCATATTAACATAGAGCAAACCGGCTCATAACCGTAATCACATCAACATATAGAAAAAATTTATATGCTAAATTGCCAATCTTACCAAATTAAGCTAAGCAAATAGAATTTGACACAAGAAATANATAGAGCAAACCGGTTCATAACCGTAATCACATCAACATATAGAAAAAATTTATATGCTAAATTGCCAATCTTACCAAATTAAGCTAAGCAAATAGAATTTGACACAAGAAATAAACAAAATAAAACGAAGGCCTTGCCTGATTGAGAATTTTCAGAGTTGCTTCCTCGGAAAGCCCATTTTTCAATGAGGCAACGTGATCTGAGTCAACCATAGGAGCATGTTGTTGCGTGGCTTGAACAGCAACCTCTTGGTGATCAACAAAACCCCCTACACCACCAGCATAATACTGCCGGTGGTGATGGTGATGAGGATGATGATGGTACTGAACCGGCACATGTTGTGCATAAGGACGATGATGGTTCTGAACAGGCACAGACACGGGCACGTGACTTGCAATTGGAACACTGAAAGAAGAATTGGGAGCTGCGTAAACATGGACCAATCCGGGCGGTGGAGGTTGAGGGAGCACGAGTCTCGACTGAGTCAGATCGGTCCGAGCCACTGCTGAGGATGATGTTGATGGTGAGGACGACGAGCTTCGAGGTACGAACTCAGGTGCTTTAGCGTTGAGTTTACTGGAGGATAAATTTCGCGACAGAGACGGATCGCAGGAGGTAGGACCACCATCACCGCCGCCGCCAGCAGACTGAGCATCTGATTGACGATCGTGATCGTCGGTGTTGCCATAGAGAGAAGAATCTTGGGATTCTGATGGTGAATCTGATAAGTCTTCTTGTTGAGGCTGATCCATAGTAGAAGGATTATTTGTTTTTAGGTATCGACGATTTTACAATTAAATTTTAGGGTTTCAATTTGTGGCTGATTTTTCTTGAGAATCAGGTGGTGGATCTAGGAATGGGTTTGATTGACAGCTTGATGTTGTCTTCTTTTTGTTAGAGTGAGAGTGTAAGGGATAGGGAGGCAAAAGGAGAGGCCTGGCCTCACACACACCTTGGGGTAGGAGACAGTGGAGAGAACTTCTCGCCTTCGGGCTTCCCCGGTTTACGTATATATAGCTGATGCGAATGTACATGCATACATTATCTGGGGTAAAATTCATATTTGGCCGCAAAGTTTTGCACTGAATTTCAATTATGCCCTTAATTTTATCTCAAGTGATCCTTCGACTATTTAAAAGTTTCAATGTAATCTTTCCATCTAATTTGTCAAAAATTGTAACAGACATGCACGAGTGTCATGTGACTGAGCTAGTGGGGTTATTTTACGCATCACATAAAGGTTAAAATTATATGTGGTAACTAAACTATACTACGTAATTCAATTAAACCTTCAATTTTTATTTTGTCTCAATTAAAATCTCTAACTAATGAAAAATTCCAGCACTCCTTCCACACAAAAAAAAAAACCTCTAACTAAATTTGCATCTCATGTTCATAGACCATGGAATGAGAAAAACTTCATCCAAAAATTTATGTGCTTAGTGCGTGAGTTGGAACTAACCATGACCTCAATAGTGAGAATGGCATGATAGGCTCATCTCTTTGTTCCTTTTCTTTCAGTTCTCGATTTTATCTCTATTGTATTTTGTTATGATAGAAAAAAAAAAGATTATGAAGGGAGTAGATGAAATGCACATTTGCATTTTTTTTAGGGAGTTGTATGGAAAGAATATAGGGTTAATTACACCTATGGCCTCTAATGTATGCAATTTGTGCTATTTTGGTCTCTAATCTATCAATTGTATCATATTAGTCTCTAACGTTTGCAATTTGAATTTAAATGGTCACTATGTCTAATGACGTTTCTCACAATTTTTGGTCATGTGTAGTTCACGTGTCTTATAGTAAAATTTATATTCGTCAAGGGAGTCTAAATGACCAATCAAATGGCACACTCAAGTCACGTGCGAATCAATTAGGGCTCAGATTTTAGACAATTAGGGCTCGCACGCGACTCAAGTATGTCATTTGACTAGTCATTTGAACTTCCTTGACGAATATGTTCTCCATTGTATGATACGCGAACAATACATGACAAAAATCTGTGAGAAATCTTAACATCGTTATGTGTGAAGATTATTTAAATTCAAATTGCAAACGTCAGAGATTAATATGACGCAATTGGTAAATTGAGAATCAAAATAACACAAAATGCATATATTAGGGACCATAGGTGTAATTAACCCAAGAATATATTGAAACTTTTCAAGTAGTTGAGTAATTTAATTTAGACAAAATTAAGATTAAAGGATTTAATGTAATTAGATGCACAATTTAAGAACCAAATATGATTTTAACCTTTACTTATTGCCTAAAATACCCATACTAGCATAGTAACCTGACACGCATGGATTTTTATATTCAGATTTTTGAAGGAATTAAATGAAAGTGCTACATTAAAACTTTTAAATAATTAGAGAGTTTAATTGAAATGAAATAACAATTAAGAGCTCAATTGAAATTTTATGCAAAGTTTAAGGGTCAAATATGATTTTTGCCCTGGATATGTATGATGACTAGATGGGTTAACGAGACCGATCATTCCTTCGAAATATCTATATAATAAAGTACAATACAATTTAAATTTTAGAAGATAAACAAAATGATTTTTGTTATTTGCAGTTGAGATCGTTTTAAATTTTACTTTAAAGTTAATCTAATGGCTAATATTAATACCCCAAATTTAATAGGAAAATAGACCTTAAATGTGTATTTGGAGTGACTTTTTAAAAGTACTTTTATGAATTATTTCTCATAAGTACTTTAAAAAAAATATTGTTTGAAACTGTCACACACCACTACCTCTACCACCACCCCCTCCCCACCACCATTACTATCGCCACTACCACCATCACCATCACCACTTCCATTGCCCCACCACCACCATAACCATTACCACCACNATGATACGCGAACAATACATGACAAAAATCTGTGAGAAATCTTAACATCGTTATGTGTGAAGATTATTTAAATTCAAATTGCAAACGTCAGAGATTAATATGACGCAATTGGTAAATTGAGAATCAAAATAACACAAAATGCATATATTAGGGACCATAGGTGTAATTAACCCAAGAATATATTGAAACTTTTCAAGTAGTTGAGTAATTTAATTTAGACAAAATTAAGATTAAAGGATTTAATGTAATTAGATGCACAATTTAAGAACCAAATATGATTTTAACCTTTACTTATTGCCTAAAATACCCATACTAGCATAGTAACCTGACACGCATGGATTTTTATATTCAGATTTTTGAAGGAATTAAATGAAAGTGCTACATTAAAACTTTTAAATAATTAGAGAGTTTAATTGAAATGAAATAACAATTAAGAGCTCAATTGAAATTTTATGCAAAGTTTAAGGGACAAATATGATTTTTGCCCTGGATATGTATGATGACTAGATGGGTTAACGAGATCGATCATTCCTTCGAAATATCTATATAATAAAATACAATACAATTTAAATTTTAGAAGATAAACAAAATGATTTTTGTTATTTGCAGTTGAGATCGTTTTAAATTTTACTTTAAAGTTAATCTAATAGCTAATATTAATACCCCAAATTTAATAGGAAAATAGACCTTAAATATGTGTTTGGAGTGACTTTTTAAAAGTACTTTTATGAATTATTTCTCTTAAGTACTTTAAAAAAAATATTGTTTGAAACTGTCACACCACTACCTCTACCACCACCCCCTCCCCACCACCATTACTATCGCCATTACCACCATCACCATCACCACTTCCATTGCCCCACCACCACCATAACCATTACCACCACTGCCCACCACTACCAGCCCCACCCCCACCCCCCACCATCATCACTACCATTACCACCACCATCCATTCACCACCATCACTTCCACCACTCCACCACCATCGTTATCTTATTCTTATATTTCTTACCATTACCACCATCATCTCACTACTACCGTCGCCCACCATCAACACCCACCGCTACAACTACCCACTATCACTTACCCCCCCCCCACCACACTTACCACCGCCGCCATTCGCCACTACCCATCACACTATTGTCTAGAAACACCTATTGTTGCCCACTACCACCATCATCACAGCCCACCACTACTGTTGTTAACCACCATCACTATCATCCACAACCACCTACACCCACCACTATCACCATTGTCACTCACGATTATCACTACACATCATCATCACTCAAAACCCACTACCACCATCATCATTGCCACCCACGGTTTCCACCACCTCCACGGTCGTCGCATTACCCACCACAACCATCACCATCACCATTTATCGCCCACCACCACTACCATCGCTCACCCCACTACAATCGGTGCTTAAATTTTTTTATCTTTCATTTATGTTTGTAATTTGATTTTAGGTGTGAATACGAATACACTAACTATTTTTTTTATTACTCCATGCCTTTAGGCGCAGGGAATAACTAGTAATGATATATGATAACAGGAAATCAACATATAAATTGGTCATTGTATTTGTTCTTAGATTGTGATCGTATATGTTAAGTGATAATGCATTCTCACCAATGTTTTGAATATTTATTCCTTTATAGGCATCGGAGGAGTTGCAATTATTTTTTATGGATAATTAATCCATATGAAATAATCAACATCAATTTCATATCGTTTCATAATTTTTAACTATTTTTTTATCAATAATAATTATTTTTCTTGGTTTGGTTTGTTTTCTTTTCTCCAACTTATAGTATATGCATGCTAACCTATGTGCATATACACGCGCACACGAGGGCACACACACACACACACATATAAGTAGATTATTTGTATACCATAATACATGTAGATCAATTTGTTAAACACTAATCAAATACATTTTTGATTTTTAGGAAGTTATTATTTACTTAAGAAACATTATCAAACAAAAACTTTTTAAGTACTCTTTTTANGTGCATATACACGCGCACACGAGGGCACACACACACACACACACACATATAAGTAGATTATTTGTATACCATAATACATGTAGATCAATTTGTTAAACACTAATCAAATACATTTTTGATTTTTAGGAAGTTATTATTTACTTAAGAAACATTATCAAACAAAAACTTTTTAAGTACTCTTTTTAAGTATCAATAGCTTTACATTCTCCGTCCAGACTTGTTTTTACATTTGAAGGGGCATAAAACTATTAGACAATGATTTACACATGTTGTGACACCCATATAATCAAGGTTCATTTGTCAACTCGTTAACCAACCGTCAACCTGCAGAAGTACCTGTGATTGTCGCATAACCCAACATCACATCAATAACATNTTTAAGTACTCTTTTTAAGTATCAATTGCTTTACATTCTCCGTCCAGACTTGTTTTTACATTTGAAGGGGCATAAAACTATTAGACAATGATTTACACATGTTGTGACGCCCATATAATCAAGGGTCATTTGTCAACTCGTTAACCAACCGTCAACCTGCAGAAGTACCTGTGATTGTCGCATAACCCAACATCACATCAATAACATCCCCTTAATCGAGATTATAATCCACACGTGTAACCCATGTACATTTTATCATTTTACCCAATCGAGGTCCAATATACAACAATTTATCCTTATTTAATGTCCATTTATATTCTTTGAGCCAAAAAAATCCAAAGTCCAAAAGCATGGCATAACATTCTTAAAATTTGAAATTTTTGAAAAACCTACCGGTAGGTTGATGTTCTACCGATAGATTAATGTTCTACCGGTAGGTTGTGCCTACTGGACAAAGTTCTACTGGTAGGTTTATGTTCTACCGA